CTATTTTGGAGGGGGGGGTGGGGGGGGAGAAACAAGTAAAAGGACAAAGCTTACAAAAAAAAAAAAGTACCAGGAGGCAGCAGATTTGAGCTTCTGAATATTAATTAGAAGACTAGCAAAACACAGGCAATGCAACAGCTACTAATAGGCCTTATCGCTGAGAGTGGGAATATACCGATCTCTCAAAATGGCTTAGGGGTTGACACATCCAAGGCCTTCTCTGATAGTCTATAATTATAACCATCAGTAATCCTACTGTTTTAGAGACATTTTAAAAACCTAGCCAATTAAGTATAAATGTTTAAGTAAAGCTCTGTTTCCTGGAGGATGTTCTTGGGGACAGCATCAATGCTCAGGACATTAGCTGTCCGGTTTTCAAGCTAGTGATAGTCACCACCGCAATGAATCTCGGTCGCAGACACTACCAGGCGCCGGGGAGCTGTGTGCACCTAGAAACAAACACAGTTCATGAAACTCAGGCCACCAGACTCTCTCACATTACTGTGCTGGTCTGAAATTCTACTTGGGGCGAAGAAAAAAAAAACAGGAAAAAACACACAAGCAAACCATATGCCCAAAGGAGTAAGTTGTGCCCAGACAAATGAAACAGGATGCCATCAAAATCATGAGAATTAATACCAATTGTAGTAAGGTTCCCTTTTTCTTAGCACGCTTTCTTATTAGTATCAATATAAGCACTAGGATCCATTCACAGCCACCCTGGGATTGGTGCCCTACGGGTCCCCTAAATTCTCCGTCTAGAAGCTTAAGCAGCCTCATTTTTCCTGGAGGAGAGAGCAAGAGAGAAGTTTTTCTCCGAGGTCAGGGAAAAGCGAGACATGCACCCCAGCCGCCCAAAGACTCCAGGCCAACTGCCTCCTCTATTCAAGGCGCAGAGACGGCCAGATCCGAGGCAGAGTCAGAGATGCCTGAAGCTGACACACTATCGCACGTCTATTATAAGTCGACAAAAACACAGGCACACAGAAAGAAGTCAGAGGCTCCCGGGACCCTTCCGGGGCGCGGTTCCGCCCGCGAGGGTGCGCCCCTCTCCCCGGCCCTCGGCACGAGGAGCTGTTGTTGTTCGGTCCCCGCGCGTGGCTGGGAAACCCGTCCCAGGAAGGGAGGGCGCCGCTCGGGGACGCACTCTTAGGGCGCAGCCCCCTCTGTCAGTCTTTCCTCTCGCCGCCCTCTGCCCCTCTCCGGCGGGCAGCGTGCCTCTGGGCGTCGGGCCTCAGGAGCCCCCCGAGATCCGTTCCCCTTCCTGCGGGCGGCCCTTTAAATGCGTGCAGACCGCGGTCACCCGCCCGGCTGCCTCAGCTCCCCCGGCATCCGTAGGGCCAGGTTTCCATTTTCTCCCCCTTCCCGACCGCCTTCCCGCAGGTGGGCTCTTCCAGTGCAAGAAAGCACACACCCGCGTCCGCACGTGGGCCGGTGCGGATCTGAACCAGGGCCTAGGAGAGCCTGGCGCGCGAGGCGCGGGAGGCGCGGGGCGCTGTCCTTGCCGGAGTCCTACGGGGGACGCCCTGACTCCCCTCAATCGCCGCCCGTCCCGGCCCCGGCTCCCGGGCGCGCCCCCCACGCGGGCCTCTGTTACCTGGCGCTTGTTCATCTTTCTCAAGTCACCGAAGATGTCCAAGCCGGACGTGGGGAGAGGCGTCCCCACGGCGCCCGCGCGCACCATGCCGGGGGTCTCAGGGCCAACGGGGGCCCGCGAGCTCGTGGAGTCTCTGACAGCTGCCGAGCACCCGCCGGGCCCCCGCCCACCAGCCCCGCGTCCCTGACGGCCACGTGACCGGCGAGTCGCTCAGGCGTCTGGGAATCGTAGTCCCGCGAGTCTTGGCCTCCAGCGTAGCTGGAAGAAACCTGGAGGAAGAAAACTACTACTCCCAGAATTCCGCGGGGCGAGAGCCTCGTCCAGTGAAGACCCGGGGCTCCTAAGAAGGGCAGCGACGGGGCTCGGGAGCCTTGTCCGACGCTTCCGAGAGAACCTGGGGGCGTGGGTGACCCTGCATGTCGCAGGGGTAACTCGGGAAAGTGACTACTCAAGAGGAACGGAATCCCCCACGGCTCTGGTCAGGCGCCAAGAGGACACCTAAAGCTATATACCTAGCCGTGTATCTCGGCCATTGGGTGACTGCGCGAGGAAGGCGGGGCTTCGGCTCGCGGGGGCGTCGCAGCACCGGGCGGGCCGAGAGCCGGCCAGGTGGGTGGGCGGGGCTTGGGAGAGGCGGGACGTTTGAGCCTCCGAGTTCCCGGCTCTGCAAGGGTGGCTGGATTTCAGTGCAAAGGAGCCGGAGGATACAAAGGTGTAGCCCCTTGATCAGAGCTGTGTCGCTACGGATATTAACGGAATGAATAAGTAACCAGTAGTTTTAATACACGAGGAAACAAAGTTGAAATGACATGACCAAGGTTAAATGGCAGAGTCTGGAATAAAATTAAAAATTTAAAATTTATAAAGCCTGGATTATTCCAGTCCTGACCCTAGATTATCTTTAGTTCATGCACTCACTCATTTATACGCTATTTTATTCCATTCATTTATGCACAAATCTTTTTGGAGCACCTATTATGCACCTGGCCCTGTTCTAGGCACCTGAGAAACATCAGTGAACAAAACAAGCAAAGATCCTTGCCCTCGTGAAGCTTACATTCTAGCAGGAGGAGACATAAGTAAATTATACAGTACCTAGAGGAAATGAGAGGGCAGGTAGGAGGGATAAGGAGCTCCGGGGGAAGATTGATGAACCTACATTAACGGATTATTATAACCCATAGTGTACATTAGCAATTTATGGCTGCAATTTAAAATATCCCAGAAGCTGACGTAGCACGAAGCTAATGAAATGTGAGTTTTGAGACGCTTCACTTGCAAAGGCCCCTCCCAAAGCCTTGACAGAAAATGTCCAGGTGGTTTTGTAAAACTTTCCAAGCAAGGTACTTGAATTGCTGCTGGTTGAGTCCTGCTTCTTTGCATTCCAGCTTCTCCTCCATCATACTTTCCCTCATGTTGGAAGGACCAGGAGTGCTCTGAGGATCCAACTAAAGAGAATCTGACTTAGAGATACATTTAGTTTGTGTTTACTGGATATATGTATGGGTTCATGGTGGTTTCCTGACATCCTGGTGTAGGAATGGCTTCTAAGAACACTGCCACCCACTGTGCCAGCTCACCTGATATCCTGGCAGGGAACTTGCACTAGAGGTGGTTTCCTGACATGAGTGTGTCCTATAGCACTTGGCCTTGGAAGTATGTGGGTAAAGGAGAAACAAGGTTTTAAATGTATGGAGCCAAAAGCTAATCTGTGTAAAATTCATTCAAATATCAGATGTATAAAAACAAAAGTGGGAGATACAGTTCTCTTCAGTCCATCAGAACGATACAGTGATAAAGTTAACACTAATAGATGCTTGAATTTCTATAGGTGGTAGTGAAGGTATTTGTTTAGATGTGTTCAGATTCTGGAAATATTTTGAAGATAGAGTCCTCAGGATTTTGGAAAGATGGGTATAGGGTATGAGAGGAAAAAGGAAGTTAAGGCTGACTCCAGGGTTGTTAACCTAAGCAACTGGGAGGGTAGAGGCGTCCACAACTGAGTCCAGGAAAGCTCCAGGTGGAGCAGGTTTGGGGGAGAAAGTAAGAGTTCACATCACTGTGACCAAAAATCCAGGGTTCCTAGGTTTTACCAGCCCATCACCATCAGGTCACATCCTTTGGATGCCTCCACCCTCCTGCTTAGGTTGAACACTACATGAGAAGCGATCCAGAGAAACATAGGGTAGAAATTCCCGCATGCTGTCCAATCTGGGACGAGTCAGTTAACTTCCATGAAACCTCTCTTCATCCATAAGCTAAAAACTATTTCGGTGACAGCCATTTTGGAAGACAGTCTGGCAGTTTCTTACAAAACTAAGCATACTCTTACACTAATAGTTGCTTGATCCAGCAATCGAGCTCCTTGGTATTTACCCCGAGGAATTGAAAACTTATGTCCATAAACCAGCACACAATGTTATCAGCAATTCTCTTCACTATTGTCAAAACTTGGAAGCAACCAAGCTGTCCTTCAGTAGGTGAATGGATAAACTTTGACACAGCCAGACAATGGACTGTTATTCAGTGCTAAAAAGAAATGAGCCATCAAGACATGAAAAATATGAAGGAACCTTAAAAGCATATTACTCCATGAAAGAAGCCAATTTTAAAGGCTACATACTGTATGATTGCAACTAGATGACATTCTGGGAAAGGCAAAACTGTGGAGAGAGTACAAATTCCAGTGGTTGCCAGGGGTGATTGGGAAGGGATGAGTAGGCAGGGCACGGAGGATTTGTAGGCCAGTGAAACTACTCTGGGTGATGCTATAATGGTGGAAACATGTCATTAAACGTTTGTCAAAACCTATAGAATCTACAACACCAAGAGTGGACTCTAATGTACACTATGGGTTATAATAATCTGTTAATGTAGGTTCATCAATTGTGACCAATGTACCACTCTGGTGGGGGATACCGATAAGAAAGCTGTGCTTATCTGGGAGTTCAGGAGGTATATGGGAAATCACTTACCACTTAATTTTTCTGTGAACCTAAAACTGCTCTAAAAAAAAAAAAAAAGATTACTTTAAAAAAACTAAAAAAACAACAAAACACCTATATTGGTAGTATCTGACCTTTTTGTTATAACAATCACAGATAGACTGTGCCCACAAGTCAAAGTAAGGGCTAATAGTGGTCAGGCAATAGAAGAAGTCTTAGTTCATGCCTGACTCTCAAGGGACCAGTTGGTGTATGGACCCACCTGTGGTTATTTCCTCAGTTCTTGGATATATATTTGGAATAGATACACTTGTCACTCTCAGAATCCCCACATTCTCTCTGTCATCCATAAGTAAGGGCCATTATGGTAGGAAGAGCTAACTAGAAGCCCATTCAATGCCCCCTCCCTACCAACGTAATAAACCAGAAGCAATAGCCCATCCCTCGGGGAATGGCAGAGAAATGACTTCTCAGTGTTACACTAAAGCTGGAAGCAGCAAAAACTTAAATTGTTGGACGAGGCTTTAAGGAATTACATTTAAAATAATGGTCAGATATTTAAATCTTGTCAACCCAAAGTAAAGTGGAGAATTTGTCCCAGGTTTCAAACAAAATAATCTGTATTTCAGTCGTGGGCGATTTTAGAGCCTGAATCACCCAGCTATTGGCCAATTTCTCCATTTAGAATCATAACATCTAACACTTCAAAAGAATCCAGAATCCATCTGGGTCAAATTTCTACCCATGACTGGCATCGCCTCTGAAAGACTGTACCATCATAAAGCCTCTGGTGAAACATTATCGAACGGCTCCTAAATTCTCTAGCCGAAATAGAGCAGGAGACAACCACTAATCAAAAATTATGCTCAACACTGTTTAAATTGCACTTCCCTAATACTAGTCCCTTAAAAATCAGAAAAGGAGCTCATTTTATGAAGGCAGGAAAAAGCAGAAACCATAACAGGCTACCAGCCATCCTTCCAACCTCACACCCCTGGCCACAGGGCAGGGTCCTCCCTGAGCAGCCACACATTCCCTCCACAGGATGTGGCTGTGACAGATGTGATCTTGGAGGTCCCTCGTGGACCAATTCTTGATGCTACTGGGCCCCCAGTTTCGTCTGCTTGACTTGTTCTTACAAAGGAAGCCATTAAAGTCAAGTCCTAAAGGACAACCAAGCACCTCAAGAGTCTCCAGCCCCACCCTTGGCAGGGGCTCAGGCTTTCTGTCCCTGTTCTCAGCTCCTCATTTCTCCATCTCAAGTAGTGCTGTGATATCAAGCACAGAGTCTTAGCCCCAATGGCCTGTTTCCGCCAAAGACCTAGGAACAGGAACAGGGGCTGATTAATATTGGCTCTACTACCAGTATCTGGGGAGATCCAGTTTAGCTAGTGTCAGAAATCAAGCATTCCTTTGACTAGATCTTGATCATTACACAATTGTCTTTGACTTATTGTGTATCTTAAACCAGAACATAGTATTACTCATTACTCTTTTTTCATGGAAAAATAAGCATATTAATTTTCCACATGAAATCCCCTAAACACAGGTTGACACTGTGCACCCTCTCTTTATAATTCCCAGACACCCTCGCTCCCCTCAAGTGAGATAATCAGGAATAAAACTTTAAGAAGTCTCCCATAAGACATTGACTCTCTTATTTATTGATGTATTTGCTCCATGAAGTACTAGGAATACAGAGGTGTGTAAGTTCTCAGATCCAGTTGAAGCTGTAAACGCGCAGGCCGTGATGAAAGGTATGCATCTGGTATAGAAACCCCTTAGAACATCTGGGTAGCCTTTAGGAGTAGGGTGAAGAATTGCCCAGAGGCAACAGCAGCTAACATTTTAAAAATATTTTAAAATTGATTTTTAGAGAGTAAGGAAGGGAAAGGGAGAGAAGAAAAAGAGAGATTGGTTGCCTCCTGCGTGCACCCCTGCCACAGATCAAGCCTGCAACCTGGTCATGTGCCCCGACTGGGAATCGAACCAGCAACCTTTTGGTGCATTTGATGACGCTCAGCCAACTGAGCCACACCAGTCAGGGCACCAGCTCACATTTTTGCATGCTTATTTTTGTATCAGTTAAGTGCTTTTTATATTTATTATCAATTTCGTCCTTACAAAAAATCTATTTGACAGACAATAAAAATAAGTCTCAGAAATGAAGAGCAACTTGTCCAGCGTCACAGAGGTAAGAGATGACAGAGTCAGAACTGGAATCCAGCTC